ATATACCCCCATCATTAACAGATTATTTGCATTTATTCTCATATAAGTACTTTAACGGCTCAAAAATATAAAAAACAGGATAACAATGATGTTGTTTAGTATTACTGATTTAGGAAAGCAAATTAAGTATTATATTTCTTGATTTTTTAAATTTGTTAAAAAATCAAATTATCAAAATCGTTTTAATTAGATTAATACCTGATGTCATGGTTTTTAATTTTTTAAGTTACAATGTATCTGACTTTTTAATAAATTAAATCTTAATTTTTCATTATGTTATCTGTTTAAGTGGCATAAAATGTTATTGAATAAAAAATATAAGCAATCGAAACATGTTAGAAAGATATTTAATAAGAAATAGAAGTAATTTGATTGACTATTATTATTATAGGTATCCTACAAAGGAATAAATGATTTTATTGATAAATTATTTACATCTTCTGATTAACATATTGTTTTAACACCATAATCTACCTTTAATATTAAATTTAAAACTTTAGAAATCCCTTCTAATCTGAAAATATAAGAAAATGAATTAATTTAGGAAATTAGGCCAATAGTTAAGGCCATAGTCTAGTCAGAAGTTTAGAAGAAGGAAGTATTGTTGAATCAAATATATTCATAAATTGAATTAGTTTAAGAAAAATCAAATAGTTATGAAGAGAAGTTAAGAGAATATGAGTCAATCATTTAGATTAAGGAAGAAGAGATTTAATAAATTTAAATGAGATAATAATAATAATAGATAATAGCTCAAGGTCAATTTAAATAGAATCTAAACTCATTTTAATTCTCATTTATGGAGGCTATTTCTATTAAATAAGATAATTGGTGTTGTGCAATAACTATTAATGAGGATAATTCAATTGTTATAGCAGGGTGTGATAATTAGATTAAAGTTTATGAACTTAAATCAGGGAAATTAAATTAAATATAAATATTGAGTGAACATTCAAAAAGAGTGTTTACATTAAACTTCATGAAATAATCAAATCATTTTGTATCGGGGAGTGAAGATAATACAATAATAATATGGTAGATGAATTAAAATAATTTATGGACTTGCTAATAGATTCTGAATGGACATTCTAGTTATATTTGTTGTTTATTAGTGAATAATAATGAAGATCTTATTATTTCAGGAAGTTAGGATAAATCTATTAAATTCTGGGATAAACAAAAAGGATGGTTGTGTAAATAAATCATATATGATCATACTAATTGGGTATTTTCATTAAGCTTGAATGAACAGTAAGATTTGTTGATTTCTTGTAGTGAGGATTCTAAAATATTAATAATTGAATAATCATAAAAGGATAAAAAGTGGAAGGTGGTTTAAAAGATAAAAGTAGATTAATTTGGATATCGATTGTGTTTTATAGATAATTATTAATTCGTATTCTAACCTAGAGCTAACGATTAATTGCATATATATGAAATAAATGATAATAAATAATTTGTCAAGGCCAAGCAAATTCAAGTATAAACTAGATCAAATTGTTGTTATTGTTTATTTCCATAATAATACATAAAATTGAAAGGTATCTTAGTGAATAAAAATGGTGATAAAATCAATTTCATAAGAAAGAAACTATCTGGAGAGTTTATCGTTGAATAATATATTGAATTAGGTAATTGTCATCTTTATGGATCATTGAGTGATGATGGAGAGTATTTGATCACTTGGGATTATAGTTCTAAGGAGATATAAATAAGAAAGTGTAATGAAAAATGAAAATTTATTATAATTATTAACAAATTATTCATTAAATATTAAATTGCTAAAGAGAAATTGAATTTGATTAATAGTTTTAAAATTAAACTTGTTTGAAGTGTAAGAAATGATCATTACTTTAATCTAAATTAAAGATCATAAAAACTAATGTAAATGGAAAATGGTCTCAATATGAATTCAATCAATTTTAAAATTATTTATAATTCAATCTAAGTTCATATCTTGTGAGAATTTTCTGTTTTATTGACCTCTCTTGATACAAAGAATTTAATTGTGCTAAAATTTCTGTTGAATAATGAAAAAAGTCAGGATCTTAGAATTTTACTTAGAAGTTCCAGATTTATAACACATTAAATAAGGGAGAGGCTAAATAAAAGAGAGAAAAAAATTAATTGAAAAGAAAGTTATTTCTAACTATAAAGATATAAAATTTCGAATGAAATAATTTTAGTTTTTTAAATGGATGTATAATTGAAATTTAAAATGCATTAGAGGGTTAACCTTACTATTTAATTAAGATTTAATAGATTCTATTGAGAGGAGTTTCATAATAACAAAAGCATTTTCGTTTGACATTTATTTTAAAGGCTAATTGATTCTTTTATTCTGTTTCCAATTTGATTGATTAATAAAATATAAACTTCGACATCAAAAAAAAACTTTTATTGGTTTCCTCTTAATTTCAGCTAAAATTTTTTCATCATACCCTCAATTTATTTGAGAGAACATGGATTTAGAATTCTTTTCTATTAACTTGATTCAGAAATCTCATCTAGTTCAGATATGCTTTAAAATGACTACAAATAAATGATAAAGCACCACAATTATTGATGTAAATAAAATAAATACTTTGATATAAATATTTTTTTGAATAAAGGCTCATTGCCATTCCTATTTGATAAAATTTTAGTTTTCAAAACATTCAAGCAATTTTGAATCATAAAACTGTAATAAATTTGTGAATAATTGCTAGAATCTTTCTTTTCTAGTTAAAACAACTTACTTTTTACTTTTTTTGTTTTTTTTGGTATGAAGTCTTAAGAAATGATTGCTATGATAATCAAATACTTATTTATTACTTAGTAAATAAGGAAATTCTTTTACTATCTTTATTATGGACGATTGTTCACTTATTGGATTATTAGGGAATGTAGTAGAAAAGCTATACAATGTATTAAATCTAACCTTTATAGGGAATTTGTATCAAAAGTCTGTGTAGATGAAAAATGCAAACAATGTTCTGTGGTAATCGATATGATGGTTTTATTTAACAAAACAACAGGATATTAGTACCATAGAGAAATTATTATCAGCTCAATGCAAAATTCAAAAGAAGCATAGAGAGAAAAGAAATTTCTTTAAGATATATTTATTTCATCTTGACTTCAACTATTCTTTAGCTTTTTAAACTTTTGACAATAGTTTTTGCTTAAAACTTATTATCTATTATATCCTCATTACATAAATTATATTTAAACTCTAGAAAATTTAAAGTATGTACCTTTTTGTTACTTTAATGAGTTTAACTTTTCATCCAAGTTTAAAGGTTATTTTTTGAAATTTTTGATAAAAATATTTTCAATCAAGGAGATTTTAAAATTCTTTTTCTCTTTTAACAAAAGTAAATAGTTGTATATATCATTTCTTTTTTAAAAACATAAATCTAGTATTAAATTAAGTTCAATTTTAACAACCCCTTTTCATTGAGAAGTTAATTTAGATGAATTCAGAAATGCAGAATAGACGGTAACTTACAGAATTCCAAAGCTTTAGCTTAAAAACCACCTTAATATTGCTTGAAGTTGTTATACGTAGTATACATTATGATTCATTAATTACAACTCATTAAAGATATGTTCAATTAATTAATCATAATATTTAATTTCTAAACTACCTTAATTGGATCTTCTTTCTTAATAATATATTCTTTTTGTTTGAGTTTGTGAATGAAATCTGGGATAGAAAGATTAGTAATCTTACTAAACTTTCTAATTACTTACTTGAATAAAAATATTTATTTATTGTAAACTTTAAGAATGTTATGTATCAACTTCTAAGGTAGATTCATAATCTCTTTTTAATTCATCAATCTAAAAGGGCAGACTTTAATGTGAATATGATTATTAGATTTATACTGGCAAATTGAGAAAGAGAGATCAATTATTTTTAATTCAGGTATTTCAAAATAAATTTTTGTGCACTCGAAAAAATAATTGTGTTAATTATGTACAATAATAAGTGTTTTATATTATAAAATTAATTATTATAAAGTATAAATCAACAACAAAATTTAATACGTCTAAATTAGATTAACATAATAATAATAGTATTGAAAATTAAAATTTATGAACTAAAAAAATCTAGCTGGGAAAAAATTTCAAGCTGCCAATAATTAGGAGCAATAGCCATAATGTTATAAAAGTGTAATTTAACGGATTCCTTTGAATTGGTGTAATGCTAAAAATATTTATAAAAATTACGAGATAAGAGAGTATAAGGGAGGACAGGATCTTATAAAGTGAATGAGAAAAAAAAGATGGAAGCAGAATTTTAACAATAAGGAAGAACGGATAGAAATGAAAGAAGAAAGAGGAAGCTTTGAGTTTATTAATGTATTCTCTTTAACAGATTAAAAATAAATAAATATTAGATCTTCTTATATTAATTATGATAATGCATATTATTTTTTAACTACAAATTCTATTTTAGCATCAAATTGCAATATTGGATATTTAATTGTTCCTGTATTTAAATAATGTAAATAATGTGGTGTGTTAACAACTTCAAATTATTTTTTGGGGATGTGCAAATAATGTATATAGAAATGGTTTGATTGATTATCTGAATAATGTGAAAATTATATTTCTTTATTAGATGATGAATATTCATCTTGTTTAATAATTTATGGATATAAAAAACTTCCTGTAATGATAGTTACAATTTCTTATAAGAATTCAAAAGAACATTGTGAAATCGTAATCTTGAAAATGAAGATGATTGCTACTAACTTTATACCTGATCTTGGTTATAATTGTAATCTTATTTAAGAGAGCAATTATGATAAATACAATAATTTCCTGATAATTGTGAATCTTAGTCAATATATTAATGGTTAACATTGTCTCTTTTGTTCTATCGATATGCTCTATATGTATTTTACTCACAATATCCTTAAATTTATAATTGCATATTCTCTTTTTAATTAATATTAGTTCTTTATTATTTTATATTAATTTTTTTGATTTTTATTTATTTTAAAAATCTACTGATGTTGATCGAGAGTCCATTCACATCACAAAAAATGAATAGATATTCAAAGAAGAGAGTCTGTATCTAATATATATTTCATGCGATGATATAAGGATAAAAAGACGATTAGCTTCTTAAATCAATTATTGAAGATTCAGACAATATTGAAAAAGAAAATCTTAGTGTTTATTTTCCTAAAGTTATTTTAGCTTCTCACTAGTATTACTTTTATCCCAATCATAAGGGACCAATTTAGAAATAACTTTCAAGAGAAGTTACAACAATTGTTATTGATCAAATACCTGATAATTTATTAAAGTTTTAAGGATGGAATATTTTTTAGAAAGTATTACTTAAATAACTTGATTAATCATTATCTCCTGATATCTTCAGCAACGTTTGAGAAACAAAATGATTTCTTTAGCTTTATTCGCACTCCTGTAACTCTAATAAGGGTAAATATTTGGATATGCATGTTATTCCAATACATAAAGCCTTTCGACTCACAATTTCATTTAATATTAACAACTATATCAATACTAAATTTCTTAATTATCAAGCTAGATTGAAATTGCTCATTAATAATGGGTAAGTTTTATTGGATTAGGATATTTCTCAAAAAAAAAGAAATTTAAAGAGAAAAAAATAATTTTATTATTCTATTTAGGTAATAAAAAATAAAATTATACTCCATATTTTCAGCTTGATGAATGTTCCTCTGCTTTAAGATATCATAAATTATTTTAATCATAATTAAGAAACTATTTCAATTGGTTATAGGCACCATTTTATGAAATAATTGAATATTGTTTTACAACCTAAAAGATAATACATAGCAGCTAATTTAAACATAAGGAGTTTTAAAATTGTGTTTGAGTAAAAATCCTATGAATATATGTTTGCAACTTAGCCAAAAAAATGTTACAAATGATTAAATCTGTATTTGTTAGATCTTTTAAAATATGAGAATGGAATTAAAAAGAAACAACCTAAATTCTTTCAATTAGATTTGAAATCTCCTTAAGATGATTAAATTTTGAATTTCAGAGCAAGTGTAATATTGCACTATTGTTCTCTTTAAATAAACGAGAAAAAAATGTGATAATTGCAATAAATTCAATAATTTTAGATTCAAATCTAAAATTAATACGATAAAAACTATTTTATAAAGATTATTCATTAAATATATCTTAATTTATGAAAGTCATGATATAATTATACATTTTTTCTGTATATTTTTGTTTTATTATATTTCAAATATTGTTTATTTATAGCTCAATTCACCATAACTAATAATTTTGGTTGATTCTTATTTCATTTCCTAATTTCAATTTAATTAGGGTAGTTGATGACTTATTGTATAATCGTATTATTTATGTCTCTATTAGAAAAATGTTTTTTGTTGGGTGTTAGAACTTTTTATTTTAGTTTATTACAATTAATTTTTTATGACCTAACAAAAATAATTATTATTCAAAATGAATTTATCAAACCAGAATTCCATTTTTACCTTAAAAGCAATCAATTTGAAAGGATAAATTATAGAAAAAGAATTTGAATAATGGGATTAAACCAAGTGTAGATTTCATAAAATAAACATTGAAATCAAGTTTACTTAAAATAATTAAATCATCTATTCAAAAAATGAAGAAATATTGAGAATGTAAATTTAAATTAAAATTTAAACAAAGAGTAAAAGTACATGAAGTTTTTGAGAATCAATAATTATTTAATAATGTGGATTAAATCCACTATCTTTCATGGTAAGGTTAATATGATTAAAACGAAAAGAAAGAAGGTAAATGGGTGGCTTTTTGGAATAAAAATATATTAAAGAATATTGGAGGATACTTCAATAATGGATAAAAGCGAGGGTAATGGAGAGATTTATTTTTAAATTATTGTGAGTAAGTAATTATTATTTTAACTTATGAATAGTTAATCAAAAGTTATTGAAACTGGAGTATATTATAAGAATCTTCGAATAGGTATATGGAATTATATTTTTAAAGATATGAAAATGTAATAAGTTTATTAAATTCTTAGAAATGGTGGGTTATACAATGATGATGGTTATAAGTAAGGTAAGTGGATTGTGTTGGATGAAAGGTTTTTTAATTATAAATAAGTCACTTAGAATGGTGAATACAATATTTATGGTATGAAAGTTGGTAGATGGGATATTATGTATAAATATGTTGACAAATATGGAATAAAGAGGGAATATAAGTAAATGTAAGTATTATATAATTATAAGGAATACAATTATTAATTTATGTGCATATTATTAGTGGTGGAGGAACATATGGTTAGAAAGGAAACTAAATAAAGATTGGAAAGTGGATAGAATTAGATGAAGAGTTTACATTTGACAAATAAGTTATTTATAGAGGCGAATATAATGAATATGGAAGGAAAGTGGGTAGATGGGACATTATGTTTTGTAAATATGGTGTGACTTAAGATCAATAAATGTAAATATATTAAAAGTATAAGATATAATCAATTATATGTGTTTTAGTGGAGGTGGTATATATGATTTGGAAGGAAATTAGAAAAAGATAGGAAAGTGGATAGAATTGGATGAAGGTTATTCTTTAGGTTTTGTAGATTCAAAAGAAGTAACTTATAAAGGTGAATACAATATGAATGGAAGGAAAATTGGTAGATGGGATATTCTAAATTAAAATAAATAAATGTAACTATGATATAAGGAATATAAAGTGGAGGAGGTTTATATGATTTGGAAGGAAATTAGAAAAAGATTGGAAAGTGGATAGAATAGGATAAATTTTTTAAAGCAATTAAATAAGTGACTTATACTGGTGAATATAATATCAATAGTATGAAGGTAGGGAAATGGGATATCATGTTTACAAAATCTATTGATTAACCATATCAATATATGTAAATATTACATGAGTATAAGGAATATAGTGGTGGTGGATCATATGATTAACAAGGATATTAGAAAAAAATTGGAAAGTGGATAGAATTGGATAATTTTTTTTCACTAATTAAATAAATAACTTATAATGGTGAATATAATATCAATGGTATGAAGGTGGGTGGATGGGATATGTGGTTTTAGAGACTTTTTGGAGATAAATATGAACATATGTAAATATATTAGATATATTAAGAATTTTTAATAAACTGCGTGTGTACATATTTTAGTGGTGGTGGATTTTATGATTAAGAGGGGAATTAGAAAAAAATTGGAAAGTGGGTCGATTTAGATGAAAAGTTTGAAACACTAAATGAAATCACTTATATTGGTGAATATAATACCAATGGTATGAAGGTATGTAGATGGGATATTCTCAATCGGAATAAATAAATGTAAATATTCAAAAAATATAGGATAGTGGAGGTGGATCATATGATTAAGAGGGAAATTAGAAAATGATTGGCAATTGGATACAATTGGATAAAGAGTTTTATCATTTAAAAGAAGTCACTTATAATGGTGAATATAATTTGAATGGTATAAAGATAGGTAGATGGGATACTGTATACTGCAAATATGAAGAGAAGGAATATAAATTAATGTAAGAAATACATGTAAGTGTTTTTAGTGGGGGAGGATTTTATGATCAATAAGGAAATTAGAAAAAGATTGGAAAGTGGCTAGAATTGGATGAAAGATTTAATTATGAGAGATAACTCATTTATCAGGGTGAATATAATATGAATGGAGCGAAGGTAGGCAGATGGGACATTATGTATTTCATCTACAGTTCGATGGAATATAAATAAATGTAAATATGATCTAAGTATAAGGAATATTTTAGTGGAGGTGGATCTTATGAATAAGAAGGAAATGAAAAAAAGATTGGAAAATGGATAGAGTTGGATTAATATTTTAATTCTAATCAATCATTTTATAAAGGTGAATATAATATGAATGGAATGAAGGTAGGTAGATGGGATATTATGTATCGTAAATTTGGAAGAGAATATATCTAAATGTAAATAAATATCAGAATAAGTAATATAGTGGAGGCGGATTATTTGATTTAGAAGGAAATAAGTTTGGAAAGTGGATTGAGATTACATAATCCTATGAGGTCACACAGAATGGTGAATACAATGCAAATGGTATGAAAGTAGGAACTTGGATAGAGATGGGAATAAATGATGATAAAAAACTAGGAGAAATGAAATATGATAAGTGAAAAGTATAAAAATAATATAGTATATAAAATTAATAATAATTATTAATTACTATTTTTAAATAGTTTGCGTTTTCAAATTTGTTGTTTCATCAATCTATAAATTTATTTTCTCAAAATAATTTTTGTTATTTTAGTTTATTTTGATAGAGAATTTGTGTTATTTAGGATTTATGGTTTGATTTTTAACAAATATGAATTCAATAATCTTATATAATTTTTATTCGACCCTCTTATTTATAGTAATATTACTATTTTATTGATTTTCAAAGTAAAAAGCAATCAAAACTATTTGCATTGTTAATCAGATTTGTATTTTGTTTATTAAGAATCTCATGTAAATTTGGTTTTATAAAGAAAAATTTAATTTTGGCAATAATCATTTAATCAAAATATATTTATTCAAAGATTTAGGGTAGGAAAAATTATGGTATTTGATGATATTTTTGATATAGCGATTTAAAAGTATTAAGTAGAAAGTATAGAATAAATGGGGTTTTTTAACAGAGTTTATAATTTATTTTTAATTATTATTGTTATTAATAAATAAATAATGAGTGATAACTGAATAATATTCTCATAATGAAAATTTAATTTACTTTGAATAGAAATATCACTCATCACAAGCTGAGATTAATTAAATTTACATGATCATTTAAATTATAAACTTCTATCAAAATATAAGCTTGAAAGCAAAATTATTTTAAATTTTAATCATTTTATTTACTGATAGAGGATAAGAGTTTAAGAAGATATTAGCAAATAATAAAATGCTCCTAAGATTAAATTAATTTCATTTATTATTTATCGAATTCATACTAGAGAGAAGTTAATACAAAAATATATTTAAATATGTTAAGGATATATATTTTGGAGATAAACTTTGAATATTTTTTTTCTTTAAATAAATATAACCCTTTAAAAATACATGAATATATTTTATTTTATATTTATAGTTCATTCTCATACTTCTTGATATTTTCTAATTTAAATCTAATTTGATTTCTTATCCCACGTAATCAAATACTCTCCATTATCACTCATTACCCCATATAAATCATATGTTCCAAAATAAATAGATTATTCAGTAACTAACTCTCCATTTTATTTTTTCCTTATTAAATTGACATATTAATCACTCTTGCTCATTAACATGCATTTTTAGATTATATATTATTAAGGAAATAAACAATTACCATCTGATCCACATTGAACTGATATAGCTTTAATTTATTCATACTTTTTATTTGTACTGTTCATTCCGAAAATAGATAACTATTCTCCATTATATGGTTAGAATGTGAAAATATTATTATCAATAAAACATATTCTATATCCATCTTGTGCAACTATAATCTCTTATGTAACACTCCATTCTTTATTCTATAGTGATTGTTATATTATTAATATCTTTTTATCAGAGCCACAAGATTTAACTTTATTTTATTATTAATTAAAACTTAATCCATATATCCAATCAGTATGATCTGTAATTGTTTAATTCCACAACCATTCATTCTTTTTAATCCAAAATTAAATAGTATTATCCTGACTACCGGATATAATGATATTTTCATTATTATTTACTATCAAACATGAGATACCGCTGCCATGTCCTTCTAATCTCTATTATTAAATCCATTTATTATTAAAATTATTTTTCCATATAATAATAGAATTATCATCGCTAGCAGAAATAAACTAACTCTACTTTTACATGAAGTTTAAAGTGTTGACATCACCTTTATGGTCACTTAATATTTAAATTGTTTCAGAATTCCTTGTTTAAATTCAAATACTTTTATTTATGAGTTACATCCAGCCAACAAATTTGAACAATCTTTATTAATAGCTATTGCTAAACACCTCTCATTTTATTAAACTGAATATTGTTCCATATGTTAATAAGTGAATGGTTTCTAACTAGATTGATGAATTGGCTAGTATATTATTTATGATTATTGAATATTTTATTGACTCTTCAGTTATTACTAGGTCTCCTTATCTTATAATTTCTATTCTATTTATTACTTAAATTCCTTCTTGCAATATTCAAAGTTTTATTCTAAATTGTGTTTAACTTCTTAAACTTATTCTTAAACTTATTTCTTTTGTACTTACTTTAAAGATTCTTATTTAATTTTTATTTGTTTCTTAACTTTAGTTTAAATTATTTCCTATACCTCTTAACAGAGTTTTTAAGAAAAATTTCCGCCATCAAATTTGAATTTAGGGAAATTTAGGATAGAAGAAATGTCTAATGTTTAGAGGGATCTTTTAGAATCAAGATTCTTAAAATCGGATGTTTGATTCAGGAGTGAATTTAACTTATTATTAATATTGTTGAATGCTGACTATTAAATTATAAATCGATAATATTACTTCATATTGATTTTATACATCTTGCAAGTGTTCAACCGTACTCTTTTTTTGTTCATTACCTTTATCTACTATATATGCAGACATTTTGAAAGATTTTAATGAAAATTATATTGATATATTTTCTCGATATATATTATATATACATAATAAAAGATTAGAATAATAGAAGTAAATCTAGTTAAAATAAACTAATGTGAATTAAATTTCTAACATTTGCAAATAGCCTATCTGGAAGTATATTTCAAAAAGTCGAAGATTAGGTACAATACTTATTTTGCAGTTGTATATGGCAAGTTAGATGACATTCATCAATCAAGAAGTTGTTCAATAGATAAATTATTTGCTGGCTTTTGAGTCAATCCATTTTTGCCCATGATATCTTAATTCTCTGTTACTATAAAACATTTTTATTTTATTAAATCAGAATCTTTAAATTCTGCAAACTAAATTGATTTAGTTTACCCTCTCAATATTATTTTAGATATAGATAACAAATTGACTTTGCGCTAAAATTTATTATTTTATTTTTTTTCGAATTTTTAACTTCCTTTCCTTTTTATTTTTTAATAAATAACTTTAAAATTCTCATTTCAAGCAAATAATTTTTATTTCAGTCTTAACTTCATTTAATTAAATTAACAACCAATTATTCGGCTATTATTAATCAGCAATCATCCAATCTTAGGCTTTCGTGAAAGGCCGCCCTACCTTGATGATTGGGTAATACTCTTTTTCAAAATTCTCCTTATTCTAAAGGTTAAAAATAATTATTCATAAATATTAAAACCTTTAGAGTAATAAAAAATTATTTATCTTGTAATTTTTTCTAGTGCTGTTTTTCAGTTTATTCTTTAAAGTAATTATCGAATAAGAAAATTGCAAGTCTCTTTTAAGATTCCCTTTCATCTTTGCTAATACTAAGGATTAAAAATAATGATTTTCTCTTAATATTATCATCGGCGAGTGTAGATCATTAATCCTAAAAGCATTTATTTTCTTTGGTTTGTTTGCATCTAAGCTGTTCTAAAATATTACAAGATTAACAAAGCCAATTCTCTAAAATAAATCTAATTTATATTGGATTTTCTTCAAATTATCAACTAAGGATGTATCTATTTTTTTATCAACTTTGATATAACCCTAATAGTCCTAATATAGTCACATAGTGGCATCTAGTTATTTTATTTTATTTAGAGGAATAAGCCTGAGTTAAGAGAGCATTTCTACCATAGTAATATCATTAAAAGGATTAGAACTCTCTCTTTTTTTTTCAAATGATACTGTTTTGTTTTTCTAACAATTTTATCTAATTTTTAAAACTTTTAATTAACATGACTTAGTTTTAGGATAACTTTTGCTCTTAACTACGTACAAATCAATTTTGCCATTGAATAAAGGATGGATTTATATTGTTTATTTTCCGACCTCACTTTTTTTTATCGCAGGTTTATGATTAAGTCGAAAGAATAATAGTTTTGATTTTAAAGAAAATAGTTTTATTTTTTACATGCAAATTCATCCATACTATTGCTACAATCTAATCAATATAAAGTATCTTATAAAAATTAGTAGTTATAATTTAATATATTTTTATTCTTTTTCAAATCTGCTTATGTACATTTAGTTGTTATAATTTAATCAATTAGATAAGAAAATTCAATAATATTTACATTTATAAATGGCTCATCTAAAAACTAACATTTTTATGTTAATATTATTCTGGTACATAATAATTGTTTTAATTTACAGAAAATACATTATCATACTTTTTAATTATCAAAAGATTTAAGTTTTTTCGTATAGTTTCACTAATTTGGAATGCTCATTCTTCTTCTATTTTTTTTCATAATTATATTTAATTTTTGATTATTCATTAGACATGTTAACAGATTCATTAAACAAACTAATTGTAATCAAAATTATTATAAATAACAAAAAATAATCTTAAAGTTTAGGATTTTAAAAATAAATTATTAGATGTCACAAAAATATTAATGTTAAAAATTGAATTTATGAAACAGAAATTAGACATAATAATCCAAATTCAATTAATTTTATTAAAATCTCTTCTACTTAGGAAATATGTTTAATAAAAATATTTATTAAACTTATCATTAAACAACTATCATTAACACTAGAAAATATAAGACAAATATATTGAAAAGAAATTTACTATTTAACAGAAATCATATATAAATATATTATTTTATACTTTCAAAAATGATAAACAAATAGACAGTATAATAATAATATTATGAAAATCATAAAAAATATATTTTTGATTAATTTTAGTATTTTTATTACAAATTGTTCAATCATAAATATATTATTAATGATAAGAGTTAATACATAAGAAGTAATAACGATAATTATTAAATAATCATATTTGAACAGTATATCTAAAAATATTTTCCAAATATGAGTTTACCAGATAATAACAATTTAATTTATAATAGGAAATCAATAATGAAAGAATGAAAACTGAAAATTGATTAATATGTAAAAAAGATCATAAGATTGCAAGTACATTATATTATAAAATAAACAATGTCAAAAGTATATTATGAAGCTAATTAAAAGTTCTTAAAAAGATGGATATATAAATAATAAAAAAATTTGTTTATGAGTAAAATTAATTTATATTGGACCATTAGGAATTATAAGAGTGTATAATATAAATAAAGAAAGATATAAAATTATTGTTAAGCATAATAAAGTTAAAAGAGATGCTATTAAATCATGTGCTTGATAATGAATGCTCATTTAATATTCTGATTTATATCTAGCTTGTAACATCATCCCATGTAATTAAAAATTCTCCATCTCCACTGATTCCACCAAAAAAATTGTTTGTTTTAAATTTGATTTATTATACATTGAAAAACTGCCCTGTATCATTCAATTATAATATGTTTAAAAAACAGCCATTCTTGTTAATTAAAATATTTTTTGATTTGATAAACTTTTAAGAAAAATAAAGCCAACATTCACCAATACCTTGAACTGAAACCTAAATAGTATTAGTAAATTCCTTATTCTTTAATTCATAAATATCTAAATAATCTGAATATTATTTTTGAAACGTAAATAATTTATCATTAATAAAACATAATCTAAATCCTAATTATTCTACTTAGATAATTTGTTTCAAAATCCAAAGCTAATCATTTAATTATTATTATTAATAGATGAGTATTGTTTTATCATTAGAAGAAGAAATAAATTAATTTTGAGACTCATTTAAACTTAAGCTTGAAACAGCACTACTGTGATCATTTAAAGATTAATGACAAATCCAATTTGATTATTAATCTTAAATCCAACATTTTATTGTATTATCAAAACTACAAGATAGAATAAGATCTTCATTAAAATTTGAAATTATACAATTTATACATCCAGTATGTTCTACTAGTCTTTATGAGCTATACCATTATTATTAATTGTTAACTTTCCAAATTATTATTGAGCAATCAAGACTTCCTGATAAAAAAGATATTTATTTATGCATAAACTATAAGCAACACACGAATTCATCATGTTCATTTAGTTCTTAAATTAATTTAATATTGCTCTGTTAAAATTCATAAACTCGTATTATTCCTGAATTATATCCAGTAACTAATAATGAATTTTCTTTATTAAATTCAAGTGAATTAATTTCTTCATCTTCGATTGAGCAAAACAACTAGTAATTAATTTATTTTTTTAGATTAACCTGATCTCTTTAAGTTAATTAAGACTTTTCCATTAATTATTAATCCAACTATTTGACTTTGATTTAATTTAGTTGTATTTTTTGAAAGTATTCAATTATCTATTGTTTTCCATCTTTAAATTAATTTTCAATAATTTCATTCTATTGAAAAATATCTTAAAGAATTTCACATTCTATCTTTTTTATTATTTTTTCAAAACTATTTGTTTAACTTAAAATATTAGCAATTTGAATTATTTCCTCTTAAGTTAAAGACTACCAATCTTTTCTAATTAAGCTGATATACTAAGACTTTGATTCTAAGATTTCGATAGAACATGAATTAAGAACTGATATTTCTTAATCCAAAAACAAATTACAATTATTTTTCAAATTTTACAAGAGTTGGATTTTTTCTATCTTGTTACAATTGTAATTATCTTGAATCTGTCTTATGGAAGATTCCAATATAATTGTAAACTATTACCAATTTTCGTAAATTTTTTCTAATTTTGTATACTTAATGAAATTTTCTGGAACACAATCAATACAAGCAATTCTATTTGGAATAGTTTCTTACTCATTCATATCAAGAAATATTATTTATTATTAATGCTTTAAACATTTCCAAGTTTAACAAAGTAATTAATTATCACTAGGATTAATTTTCTTTGAGATTTATGAAAACATATGTAATCTATTAGATTAATCATCAATTTAAAGATTATTTAGAATTTCTTAATTTTATTCTATGAATTTATTCATTGATATATTTTAAAGTGAACCAATTAAAAAAGACTTAATTTCTTAATAATCAATCAATTGTTATTTGAATTTTTACTTATACATTTCTACTTCCCCAATATCACAACTTAGTAATTCATCAATGGTTTTATTCATGTTAAACTTTGATTCAATTATTAATTAGAGTTACTATTCGATTGTTGAAATACATTTATCAATAGTTTCTTAAATTACTTTTTTTATATTTTTAAGGTTGTCTTTAATAGATGTCAAAATATATTCATTTTTCATATTAATCTATCCTACCTCTTAAAAAATTTGACTGATAGTAAGTGAAAGCATATTCTATACCTCTTCAATAGGCATCAAATCTGAAATATGCTCCCCTATACATTTAATGCACAATCCTTTAGATTAACCATCAGATGCTTAAAAGTATATATATACTACTTTTTAATTGTGATTTTAACATTTTTGATCTTTAAATTATCGAATTTTTTTTATCTAAGACATAAAATATATATTAAATATATTATTATCAATATTTAAATTATTTTGGATTGAATATTTACTTTAAACAAGCCATAATAAATTAAAATATATTAGATGAGCGAAACAAATATGAAATCTTACTTTAATAATAAATTATTATGTACTAAAATAATTTCAAATTTAAATTAAGGTACAACAAATTCTTGAATTGATTACACTTCTTTATCTTTCAATTAACGTAAAAATATTTAGAAATCTTTTAAGTTGACTCTAAATTATAAATTTCCTTTAATTCATTTTTCTTAAATATTTGAAAAGAAAAACTCAAAGAAATAAACATGATTTTAAAAATACTTTTTAAATAAAAATTTTTATTAAAGATTAATTTCTTTTTCAAAATGAATATGTTGTGATTATTTTATGTTTTGCAATATAGTTTTAAAATTAAGATTATTCTTATATTAGCATTACATTAATGAGATGCAGCATAAGGTCTAATTTGATACCAGCTTTACCTGTATCATCTGAAGGGAATGTTAAAGGTAAATATACTTTCACCTTTAATGATTAATTTTCATCTCAATGATTTAATATTTCATCAAGATCAAAATTATTGTTTTTTAATCTAAGTATTATGTTATTCGATGAAAAGTTATATCAACTTAATTTGCCGGAAAAAGATGAATTTTATAATTAGTTTCTTTTTGAAANATTTCTACTTCCCCAATATCACAACTTAGTAATTCATCAATGGTTTTATTCATGTTAAACTTTGATTCAATTATTAATTAGAGTTACTATTCGATTGTTGAAATACATTTATCAATAGTTTCTTAAATTACTTTTTTTATATTTTTAAGGTTGTCTTTAATAGATGTCAAAATATATTCATTTTTCATATTAATCTATCCTACCTCTTAAAAAATTTGACTGATAGTAAGTGAAAGCATATTCTATACCTCTTCAATAGGCATCAAATCTGAAATATGCTCCCCTATACATTTAATGCACAATCCTTTAGATTAACCATCAGATGCTTAAAAGTATATATATACTACTTTTTAATTGTGATTTTAACATTTTTGATCTTTAAATTATCGAATTTTTTTTATCTAAGACATAAAATATATATTAAATATATTATTATCAATATTTAAATTATTTTGGATTGAATATTTACTTTAAACAAGCCATAATAAATTAAAATATATTAGATGAGCGAAACAAATATGAAATCTTACTTTAATAATAAATTATTATGTACTAAAATAATTTCAAATTTAAATTAAGGTACAACAAATTCTTGAATTGATTACACTTCTTTATCTTTCAATTAACGTAAAAATATTTAGAAATCTTTTAAGTTGACTCTAAATTATAAATTTCCTTTAATTCATTTTTCTTAAATATTTGAAAAGAAAAACTCAAAGAAATAAACATGATTTTAAAAATACTTTTTAAATAAAAATTTTTATTAAAGATTAATTTCTTTTTCAAAATGAATATGTTGTGATTATTTTATGTTTTGCAATATAGTTTTAAAATTAAGATTATTCTTATATTAGCATTACATTAATGAGATGCAGCATAAGGTCTAATTTGATACCAGCTTTACCTGTATCATCTGAAGGGAATGTTAAAGGTAAATATACTTTCACCTTTAATGATTAATTTTCATCTCAATGATTTAATATTTCATCAAGATCAAAATTATTGTTTTTTAATCTAAGTATTATGTTATTCGATGAAAAGTTATATCAACTTAATTTGCCGGAAAAAGATGAATTTTATAATTAGTTTCTTTTTGAAATAAATTAATATATTTAAATTATAAACTTTTTAAAAATATAAATATTGTTCAGAAAAGCTTTATAACATTTTCGTTAAGAATCACAAAGGTTAGAGTATTTTAAGAGAATTTTTACAAATTTTGTATTAATAATGGAATAACAATAATGAAGCTTTCTTTTAAAATTAAATTAAAATTATAAACTCTTAAAATTCTTTCTCTATCCAATTATCAATATTTTTTAATTAAAGAATTTTATTATTTATGATTAGTTGTAATTTAATAAAGCGTTTAAACAAACCAAATTATATTGATGCAGATTACTTAAAATATTTGACTTACCCATCAAAATATTTTATTGTTTTAAACTAGTAAAAATATTTTCAATAGCATTCTTATATCATATTTCCTTTTATGGTAAGGACTTGATGGATATTTTTTCACAAAATTTTATTAATTATTGATATTTATTAAAATTTAATTTATACTAATTTTTATAGATTATTATAATTAAAACCTATGTTGAAGTATTATGGATTGCAAATATTCTCAGTGATATTACAAAGAATCTATGTTATAAGATTTAAAGTAAAATAATATGAAAACAAAATAACAATTTGTGATTAATCTTCCGATTTTATTTTGTCTCATTTATTATTAACTTATTATTTTTTATTAATTGGTTACTTTTAAACTATCTATAATACTGTTTCTTGTGAATATCAGGAAATTCTATAAAATTATGAATTGTAAAGATTTTTTTATTTTCATATTTCTAATTTAAAATAAAGATTGAGTCATTTTCTTTCTTGATCAATTTAATTTTTTTCAATTTTCTGATTAAAGCAAGGTTGAGAATTGAAATACTAATTGATTTATAAATATCCGTTGCTATTCAAAGTATATTAAAGCTAAATAATATTTAATTGATAGAAAATGAAAAGTTATCAAAATGGTAAATGGTAGAATTAAATATTGAAATTCTTGAAAAAAAATATACACTCTTTTGAAAGTAAAAAGAAAAGATATTTTATTAAAAGATATTTATTGTTTAATATAAAATAAATATTTATATTCAAGCTTGTCAGAATTTGAATAGAAATTTAATATTATTAAACAAAATGAGCATATCCTATGATTATGATTAAATGCCACTTAAAAAGATCTTACTAGAGCTGATTATTTGGTAAGCAGGTGTCTAAATAAATTAATTCTCTAAGTGGGATGATGAAATGAAGAGAATTTTACAAACTAAGTTGAAAATTATTTTTACAGATGATCAAAAAATAAAATATGTTACAGAAGATGGATCTATTCTAAGAATGTTAAATTATTCATTTATATAATATCTAGTGATGAAATTAAAGATCTGTCATAACAACCCTTAATAATGAAAAATTTAGACTAAATTAAAAACCTCTAATTTATTGGTTAATATGGAAATAATCTAAAAAAAGTTGGAAAATGGAAAACTGTTTGGAAAGGTTAAACTATATCGGATGCAAGAGCTTTTTATTCTGAAGAAGGGGAAAAATAAGGTTTATGGAAAGGATGCATTGATAATTTTTGGAGGTATAAATGATTTAAAATTTATAAAAATTTAGTTTAGCTTAGATCTTTGAAATTGGGAAATTTGAAAAAAACTAGAGAATAGGAATATTTACTTACATATATGAAAATGAAGAAATGTATTTAAATAATAAATTTTGTAAAGAGGTGGTGGAAATTATAATGAAAAGGGTTTAAAAGAGGGCTAATGGATTGATTTGAGTCCGAATTTTTATAAGTATCAAATTTTGATTAAATAATAAAAATATTAGTTATAGCGAAGTAACTTATAATGGAGAATATAGGAATGGAAAAAAAATTGGGAAATGGGATATAAAATACAGAAGAATAGAAACCGATCAATTTCTTAAAATGTAATTATAAAATAATTATAAATTAATTAAGTGGTTGGGGATAATATGATGATTAAGGGTTTAAAAATGGGAAATGGATAGAATTGAAAGAAAATTTTTCTATGTAAGTGTTTAATAAAGTATAATAATTAGGTATTCCCAAGTAAAATATATAGGAGAATATTAAAATGGTCTAAAAATTGGTAGATGGGATTCCATATTTGACAAAGAATTGATGTAAATAAAATACAATTTTTATTTTTAGTGGTGGTGGATTTTATGATTTATAAGGTTAAAAATAGGGTAAATGGATAGAATTAAGCAATAATTTTTATGAGTAAATATAGTATAACATTGATGATTAGTCTTGCTTAGGTTATTTATATTGGAGAATATTGCAATAATGAAAAAGTTGGAATATGGTAAGCAAATTGTAGAAATGATTAAAATGAGCCATTTGAATAAATGTAAATAAAAAATAATCTAAAAATAAATTAGAGGTGGTGGATAATACGAATAAAATGAATAAAAAAATGGTCATTGGATAGATTTAAGTGATAATTATAGTAGGTATATTATTAACACTTATTTTAATTATCAGTTTTGCCTAAGTAACATTTTCTGGTGTTTATCTAAATAATTAAAAAATAGGTAGATGGGATATTAATTTCAAGTAAGATGTAGATAAACCTATATAATTAATGTAAATTATATCTTAATTTAATATAGTGGTGGTGGATCATATGACGAATAAGGATAAAAAAATGATAAATGGATAGAATTGAAGGATACTTTTGACTAGTAATAGATTTTTTAAAGTTTATTTTTTTAAAGGGAGAATTATGTCATATTTTCTGGATAATATTAGAACGGTTAAAAAATTGGTAGATGGGATATTAATTTTAAATCAAACTAAAATATGCCAATTTAATTAATGTATATACTATCTTAAAATTAAATAAGTGGTGGTGGATTATATGATGAATAAGGATTAAAAAATGGTTAATGGATTGAAATAATTGAAGATTTTAAAAAGTAAATTATTTATTTATATATTCAGGGAAAAATAAATAACTCATGTTTGTCAATATAAAAGGGGTATAAAATTTGGTTAAGAAAATATTGTTTATTTTTATAATGAAATAATGTATTTGAATTAAATATAACTTAATTTAGTGGTGGAGGAGTATATGATGAATAATTTATGAAAACAGGAGAATGGATAGAATTAAGTGATGACTTTAAAGAGTATCAATAACATATATAATAAGTTCAAAGCGAATCACTTATATTGGACTTTATCAAAATGGAATAAAGGTGGGTTAATGGAAAACCAATTTTAGAGGTGATTGCAATAAACCAAGTTAATAGATGTATATTTTATACAATTTTTATAAGAGGTTCTGGATATTATGATATGGATGGATAAAAATATGGTGATTGGACAGAAATTAATAAATACTTCTATAAGTATGAATAATTTATAAATTTCTAATTAGAGATGCTTAAATAATTAGAAAGGGCTAATATAAAAACAATTAAAAAATTGGAATTTGGAGCACTCATTTTAGAGATCTTGGAAAGGATTCATATTAAAAGATGTAATGATATTTAATATAATTATTTTTAGTGGGGGTGGCTTATATGATATTTAAGGTTTTAAGACAGGAATTTGGTTTGATTAAAGTTATGCATTTAATTTGTAAGAAACCTATTGATGATAAATTATTAGTGGTTCTGAATTAAGTGAAAATGGTGTATACTAAAATGGTCAAAGACATGGGAGATGGAAGATTACTTATGATAAAAAAATGATGTAATAAAATAAAAAAATTATTTTAGTGGAGGAGGATATTATGACAATCAAGGTTAAAAGATTAGAAAATGGAGAGAAATAATTGATAATTTCAATTAGTAATAATATTAATTAGGTCTATTCTATTAGATAAGCTTAAGTTATTTTTAGTGGCTCTTATAAGAATGGAATAAAAGTTGGCTTATGGGAATAGTATTATAAATAAGATTATCGTTTTGATTTCATGTAATAATATCGTTGTAACAATTATTTAGTGGATGTGGATTATATGACAACTAAGGACTTAAAATTGGCATTTGGATAGATCTAATCCAAGATTTTACTTTGTATCTTTATTTATTTTATTCTTTAATTATCAGTTGGAACTAAGTTATTTATATTGGTCAGTACATATAAGATACAAAAGTTGGAACTTGGATCTAGAAGCAGAAAGACCCTTAAAAATATGAAAAAGAATTTGTATAAATGTAAAATTATTATACTATTTAAAGAGGTGAATAAAATTATTGACTTATTTATATAATAAAATATAAAAATATGAAATATTATTTATTTTAAATAAATTTAACTCTTTTATATTNAAATGGAATAAAGGTGGGTTAATGGAAAACCAATTTTAGAGGTGATTGCAATAAACCAAGTTAATAGATGTATATTTTATACAATTTTTATAAGAGGTTCTGGATATTATGATATGGATGGATAAAAATATGGTGATTGGACAGAAATTAATAAATACTTCTATAAGTATGAATAATTTATAAATTTCTAATTAGAGATGCTTAAATAATTAGAAAGGGCTAATATAAAAACAATTAAAAAATTGGAATTTGGAGCACTCATTTTAGAGATCTTGGAAAGGATTCATATTAAAAGATGTAATGATATTTAATATAATTATTTTTAGTGGGGGTGGCTTATATGATATTTAAGGTTTTAAGACAGGAATTTGGTTTGATTAAAGTTATGCATTTAATTTGTAAGAAACCTATTGATGATAAATTATTAGTGGTTCTGAATTAAGTGAAAATGGTGTATACTAAAATGGTCAAAGACATGGGAGATGGAAGATTACTTATGATAAAAAAATGATGTAATAAAATAAAAAAATTATTTTAGTGGAGGAGGATATTATGACAATCAAGGTTAAAAGATTAGAAAATGGAGAGAAATAATTGATAATTTCAATTAGTAATAATATTAATTAGGTCTATTCTATTAGATAAGCTTAAGTTATTTTTAGTGGCTCTTATAAGAATGGAATAAAAGTTGGCTTATGGGAATAGTATTATAAATAAGATTATCGTTTTGATTTCATGTAATAATATCGTTGTAACAATTATTTAGTGGATGTGGATTATATGACAACTAAGGACTTAAAATTGGCATTTGGATAGATCTAATCCAAGATTTTACTTTGTATCTTTATTTATTTTATTCTTTAATTATCAGTTGGAACTAAGTTATTTATATTGGTCAGTACATATAAGATACAAAAGTTGGAACTTGGATCTAGAAGCAGAAAGACCCTTAAAAATATGAAAAAGAATTTGTATAAATGTAAAATTATTATACTATTTAAAGAGGTGAATAAAATTATTGACTTATTTATATAATAAAATATAAAAATATGAAATATTATTTATTTTAAATAAATTTAACTCTTTTATATTGCTATAAATTTTATGTCGAAATTAAAAAAACAAATTTTAATTTAAAAATTTTCTTTAAACTAAAACTTTCTTTTTTTGGTGTATACTAAGTAGATGAAGGAGAGCCACTTAACAATGCCCATCACAGAATGGCTTTTAGGAAACAGAATACAATAACATTAGCTAATAGGACTTGATCGTATTATTTCATTACTCCATTTAGAATTTAAATTGAATGTTTGCATTGAAATATTAACATAACTTCTGAATTATTAGTATTAGTACACAATCTCGAAAATTGGACTATGTCATTTTATTTTATTTTTAAAATTATTCTTATAAATTTTTAATAGATTATATTAATTATTATACTTAAAATCAAAGAATTTTATATCATAATGTTCAAAGCTGTCTTTTATTATTAAATTGATACCTTATCTTATGATGTTGGCAAACTTTCAACCAGGGCTCTATAAAGACAATTTCAAAATTAACTTAAATGTCATCATGCAAGCCTTTATATATAGTTTGATATTCTTACAGATCTGAAAAGGAAATGATATAATGCTAAACAATACAACTATAAATAATTTATTTAAAAATTAGAAACTTCAGGAGTTATACTATGTTAATTACTCAAATAATTTCGTAATTAATAAAAAAATAAACCTTAAAATTTTGAGATGTTTGCTATTTATATTTTTATAGAACTTAAACTCCTAAGAAAAATATTATCAAAAGCATCCGTCGATTGCTAAAATTGAGGTAATGATTTAAGAAATAATAACTTAAAAAAGTAAAGTTAGTTTAAATATCAAGATTCTAATTAAGTTGATTGCTAACACATAAAGAATGATTAAAACACTTAAAATATTATAAAAATTGTTCTATTAATATTTTTCAATTATCTAACCATTTGATTCGTTTTCCTTTTTCCCAAAGTCCTTTCTATTTAAATCCATCTAAATTTTTATAAATTCCTTCACCATGCTATAAGCCCATATCCCAATTTCCTTCATATGATCTTCCATCCGCCCAATAAAAGGTTCCATATCCTTATTTTTTACCATTTTTGTGCTAAATAAAATAATAAAATACATTTCCTACATACTTTTTACCATCAGCCCATATATTTGTACCAAATCCATGAATCAATGAATTTTTCCATTATCCTTCATATACTCTACCATCACTCCAAATATATTTTCCGTAACCATCATATTCATTTAAAAGTAATTCTCCTTCATAACTAATTTTAATTATCATTTAAATACATAGAACCATCTTCATTAATATATTTTCCTTTTCCACTCTTTTATCCTAATTTGTATTCTCCTTCATAAATTTATCCATTTGGCCAAAATTCTACACCTATACCATGTTATAAATCATCTTTCCAATCTCCTTAATAAAATGGACCATTATTGAAATATAATTCTCCATATCCATTCATTTTATCTTCATTCCAATTACCTATATATACATCTCCACATTAATTAATCAATCTTCCATAACCAAATTGTTAATCATTTAACCAAGTTCTATTCATAAATAATTTGATTACCCTTCATATATTCCTCTGTTATTGCCATTCCAAATCTGTATACCTCTTCCACATCTTTAATTATTCTTTGTTTCCCCTTTATATATTGATTCTATTTTTATGATTTCTTAATCTATTAATTCTTAATTATCAATCATTTATTAAACCACTTTAAAACTAAATCTTATTTTATACTACCATTATTAATCTTATGCTTAAACTATCCATAATCTCTTAATTTATTTAACATATTTTCATCTGTAATGTATTTTACTATGTATTTCCAATCTAAAGTATTTTCTTATTAAGACATTTAAAATATTATTAAAATTATTTATTTATATGTAACATTTAAATATGATAATTTATTTTTTTAATCTCATTGAAAAATAAATTACATCTTCGAAATTCCTTGACTTAACTTTTCAAAAGTCTTACAATATGATCACATGAACTTTTAAAGTTTCAATACGATATAATTATTAATCCAAAATTAAGTTTTTAAGTTGTTAAGTGGAAATAAATATCAATTCATAAGCAATTAACACTATTTTTAACTAGTATTCATTACTTTGGAACTTATTATTAACTTTATTCATTTTTAGTTATTTTTATTCTTTCTTATTTTCTAATTGTTGTAATTTTCATCAAAATTATCATTACTTGATTTAAAAAATTGATTAGAATATAAAATATTAACATAAAGTGTTTTTTTCAATTTAGAAAAATTAAATCTTTACACAAACTTTTAATAATCGCTGAGATAAAGATTTAATTGGAAAGAATCATATACAATAGAGAAAAAATAAATTTTTATGTTTTTTAACTGAATTTTAATTTTAAAATTTTGATTTATTAACAATGAATTTGGATTAAGCAGCTAAAATAAATTTACAAAATCTCTGAAAATAATTACAAGTAGTTAAATAGATAGTTTTTATGATAAAGAAGATATAAGATTTAGGAGGTCAATTAAATAAGAATGGATTTTAAAATGAAAAAATGAATAGAATTATTTATTGGGAGTATATATTTAATTAAATTTTCTAATGTCCCTTATGTTGGTGAATAATAAATAGGAAAATAAGAAATATGGAAAATTTTTTATAATAATCAAAATTGTAATTTTATTTACATTTTTATAAATTTAAAAAATTAAAAAATATTATAATTGATAAAAATAAAAACTCACCAACCCGAAGACTTGAACTCGGATTTCTGCCGCTACAGGGCAGCGTTTTACCTCTAAACTACTTGATGTGGTATTACAAAATTTATAAAATTTTTATATATATTCATTATATTTAAAAATTGTTGTTCTATTTTATATTTAATTTTTTTATTCTACTTTATAAAAACAATGCAGTTTTAATTAAGTTTGAGACTAACAGAATAATTAGTAAATATAATCTCCATGGTTGATTATATTAAATATTTCAATAAAAAAATGATATAATTATAATTTATGTATGAGTATCTCTTTTGATAATATTAAGATAATATTAGTTTTGAATAATTATATAATAATATTTTTGAATAAATAAATGTTATAATATTAATAAGTTAAAATGATTTAATGATAATAAAAAATAATTAGAATATGAATAATTTTTAGTATTATAGAAATATAAAGAAAATTAATTTACAAATGAAAGGTTAATTATAAAAAATAAATCAATCTTTAGCTTATCTAATTTATAAGTTCTTTGTTTTATCATCCCATGTAGCTAGATATTCTCCATCTTCTGTCATTCTACCAATAATTCGATTGGTTTAAAAATCTATATATTAGATTAATTCATAATCATCATTTTCATTAACTCTTATTAAATTGATTGATCTAATCTATTTATTTACAAGAATAGATTAAGATTTTATGAATTATTAAGGGAAGAACCAAAAACAAATCTTATTAGCATTATTACTACCAGTTTAAATAGATACTTCTTTACTTTTAATGAATTTTGAATCATGATCATTTTTCTAATAAATATGTAATTTCTTTTTTCTTTCAGGTTGAAAAGCAAATTAAGAATTATTAATAAAACACAATCTTCGACCTCCATTTCTAGTTAAGATTGTCTATTATAATTACCATAATTATTATTAATCATCAAAAGCAAATACTAAAATTTATCTATCTTTTGAACAAGTAATAAAATAGTTTGCATCATCATTTAAACTAATTGCACAAACATAATGATAATGACCTATTATATTTTGACAAAATATCCAAATATCTTAATCACGTTTCCAAGTTTTTATTGTAAAATCATCACTACCTGATAATAATAAATCTTCATTTCTATTTAAAGCTAAACAACTTATTCCTCCTAAATGTCCAGTCAATATTTGTTTTAAATTCCATTATTTATTATTTTATTATTCCCATAGAATTATTGTTTTATCACAACTTCCAGAAAAAAATGAACTTGTTTATTTCATGCATAATAAACAATATACACTATTTTTATGAACCTTTAATTTTTAAATTAACTTTATCTTTCCTTAATTAAATTAAAAAACATTAATTTTCCTTGATTCATATCCTACTATCATTAAATTAGATTGTTTATTAAATTCTATTGCATTTATTTATTCTTCTTCTATTGAATGAATAATACTATATCCTGTTATTGATTCCTTTTTAACTTTTTTTATTGTATTATCACAATAGGAAAAATCATTTGTATTTAATTTTAATGCTTAAATCATATTTTCTGAACTTTTATATAATATTTCAAATATAGTCTTACTCTCTTTTTAAATTCTTATTTAATTACTAATATATTCATGAATTTCTTTCATATTTAAATCATCTAATTTTTTATAGCTATCCTAGTATTTAGTTTAACATGCATTCTTCAATTTTATAAATAATGTCTATATTAGATTGATTTTCTTTTCTAGTTCCTTGATTAAATTCTCAATCTAATTAGAAAGAACTTTCTCAAAATTATCTATCTTATGAATATCCTTAACATGTGAATTATGTTTTTCATTTTGTAAACATTTAAAACAAAACACTCTGATTTCTTAACAAGATTCATTCATACAAACAAACTCTGCTTCTTATTCATGGCTTGGATCACTATCTTTTATTTAACCATACTTTAATAAAAACAAAGGACAAATATTATATTTATTATTAACGTATAGATTTTAATCTAAGATAAATTATAATTGTCTAAAATACTTTACTTATTAGATGTAAAATATTCTCTCATTTTCAATCCTTCAAATGTTAATCAATAAGAAGTGCAATTATTTTGTAATTTAGATTCAAATTAAATAACACTTAAATCATATTAAATTAAGTATATATTAAAAGATAACATGCCAATATTTTATTAATCATAGATTAGCTTTTAAGAATTTTATTGTCATTTCTAAAAAATTATAAACTATCCATTATTATTTATAATAATTATAAAATATTAATAGAAATAGCTTAATTTTTGAATAGAACATCTTAATTATTAATTATATGCAATAATTTTAATTGACAATAAAGGACTTTGATATTGATTATGATTCTCGAATAGGAAAAGGTCAATATGGTGAAGTATTTTCATGCAAGTGTAAGAAAATACCTAATCTTGAATTATGTGCAAAAGTAATTTATTCATATTAAATTTTTAGATATTATAGCATAACCCAAATCTAAAGGAATACTAGGAGAGTGAAATTCAAATTTCAGAAATTGTTTCATAAAATAAAGATAATCCAAATTTAGTGAAAATCTACTTAGCTAAAAAGGAGGGTGATTAATTAATTATAATTATGGAAAAATGTGAATCAAATTTACAAAAACTTTGGGAATAGAAAAAATAATTTAGTGATTACGAAATAGAAGAATTTTTAGTTCAATTTTTGAATGGTTATGAAATACTATACAGGAATAAAATTATCCATAGAGATATCAAACCTGAAAATATATTAATTAAATATGAAAATGGAAAACCTATCTATAAATTGGCTGATTTTGGAATTGGAAAAACATATAAATCTAACGATTATGTTATCTAAAGAGTTGGAACTCCAGCTTATGCTGCTCCAGAAACAAATTAATTATTAAATGATGAAGAACTTTAAACTCGATTTCTCAATTTTAAAAAAGTGGAAAATGCAAAAAGTTCTATTGATATATTTCCTGTAATATTTACAAATAATTATTTAGGTTGGAGTAATTTTATATCAGATGGTATTTGGTAGTTTTCCTTATAATAATAAAGGTTAACTTACTCAAGATCATATTAAAAAGTTTTTTTAATCAATCAAAAATAATCCAATAATATTACCAGAAAGTTAATCATAAATTAGTGGAATTATTTAATAGATATTGGTCTATTATCCTGAAAATAGAATGACATTTTAATATTTATATCAAATATTTGAACAATTAAACCAGAGAGTTAGAGTTTAGGATCCTTTTTAATAAATTTAACAAACCCCTAATTTCAAATAACCCTCTAATTTTGTAGCTCAAAAATAATTCAATTCATCATCATTTCCTCAATAAACTTAATTTTAACAACAAAAATTTATTACTCCTTAACCAAAACCCTTACCCAATTAATTTGTAACACCATCAATTCAAATTTAAATAAATCCTTTTTAAACAATAAAATAACATATTTAATATATTTTGTAATTATTAGAATAATTATTTTAGGAATGATTATTCTGGTCTTTTAAATGATACAATTTCAAACACATTATCTTAATTTTACAATTTTAATGGTGCATAATTTTCATCGAAAGACCTTGTAGGATTATTTAAATTCTTTAAATTTTAGATTGACAAGCTTAATTCTTATGAAAGTAAAACACTAACTTTTATTTATTCCATTTTAATATCAATTTAAAATCCTAATTAAAATTAAGTTGTGATTACAGATGATCAAACAACAAGAGAGACTATCAGAACGATTTGGAAGTATTTTATCGATAATAAACTATTATGATACAATAATATTTAAAATTATTTATATTTTTTGTTTTATTCACAAAACCTTTTCTCTTCTTTATAATTGTTTATAATTGAATAGAAGGATTGAATTTACATTAATTTCACAATATGTATTTGAATTTAAGAAATAAATTTAATGATATTTTGAAAAATTATAAAACTAAATGAATTAAAAATTCTGATGAAATTTGTTTTTAATTAAAAATCAAATTAATGCAAATTATTAATTGAAAAAGAATTAAATGATATATATAATTAAAATATCACTAAATATTTGAAATATAGATTATTATTAATTGAATGCCTAAAGTAGAAATCAAAGTTAATTAAATTGACAAAAAAAGTGAGGAGTCTATTTTAAAATTATTTATAAATTTAATTACATGCACATTTTAAACTGTATTAGGTTATATTTGTTTAGATGTATGTGTGTCAATAAGTTTGCATTATATAGCTTAAGAGTAAAAAATAAAAAATATATAGAATAAACCCTGTAGCGAATGCTGGTTATGGATTTGCATTGACTTGTGTATATATGATATTGTCACCAATGGGATTTGGTCTAAATTAATCATTAAACATGCATACTTCATAGGCTTTGGGTGCAAATAGAGAATCATTGGCAAAGGGTTATTTTAATTTAAATATATATTTGATGTTATTATTACTAATGCCTCTAGGAATATTGCTTTTATTATTAAAATACCCATTAAGTTTAATTATGGCCGAAGATTAAAGGGAATTAACATCTGATTATTCTCAAGAATTCTTATATTATTTGATACCTACCTTTATTATAGCATTAGAATTTGAAAGTGCAAAATGTTTTATGGTAGCTCATAAAATAGCATACCCCTTTACTATAATACATTTTTGTACCTTAATTACTCATTGGTTATTTTCTTGGCTTTTTGTTGTTAAATTCTAATGGGGAGTGACAGGTGCAGGACTTGTAATGATCCTAACAGAATTATTTAATATTATTGGATTGATTGGTAAAGATATTTAAAACATTATTAAGTTTATGTTGAAAATACAAATTTAAAAAAAGATATATTTAATGGAACCAAAATTATACTTGATGTAGATAGATTTTAGAAATTTGCATTACAATATATCAAAACCTCTATACCAATAGTTTTGCATATTTTCTCTGAATTATTTGTGTTTTTTACACTTTCCTTTATAGCTTTAAGTTTAGGAGTTCCAGAAATGAATGCTCATATGGGTTTATAAAATATGTGTGGAATCTATTTTAGTATTATAATTAATTCTTATTTTAGGAATTCCTTTAAGTTTGTCCATAGCTTTAATGTCTTTTGTTGGTACTGAAATGGGAAAAGCAAATATTAAATTAGCAAAAACGTATGTTTTATTAGGAATCTCTATTTTTACTATTTCATGTGCTATATCTTCTCTTTTAATTTGGAATCTTAAAGAATCATTAGCAATCTTTTATTCATCCAATCAACATTAAAATCAATTTACTAATTTAACAAATTAAATATTCTTAGATACTATTCCATGGTTAATTGGTGGCATGCTTATTGTTGATGGACTTCAAGGAACTTTAAGTGGAGCTTTAAAAGGAATTAATTAAATTAATCTTGTCTTCGTATTTATTTCATGTATTCTATAGTATTCCACAATTATCGCTTATTATGCAATTTGTCTTCCTATTGTATCCTTTTTTACTTATTCATGGGGATTAAATCAAGGAGTAGTAGGCATATGGCAAGGATTTGGAATTGCTAATCTAATTTTAGCAATATTAGACATTTTTATTCTAATGAATGTTAATTGGGATTTAGAATCTTAAATAATTATATATAAAATTGAGACCTAACATGAGATAGAACTAAAATCTTTTCTTTATGTTGAAAAAGTTAATGTATGAGATTTTATTATCTATTTAAAATCTTTAAATTATCAATAAGTTTAAAAACCTTATAATTTACAATAAATATTATTATTTTTTATTAAAATTAAAAAAAATCATATAATTGATAAATTAGAGAAAATAATGTGTTAATAAAAGAACAGAAATAGATATAATTTTTTAATTTTCATATTTATCATATAAAAAATTTCAGTATAAACGATTGAAAAACGTATATATTGAATACACTATTTTCACAGCAATTCCTAATTTAAAGCAATTTCTCTAATATATCTGTCTAGAATTTCATCAAACATTAAAACATTTATTGGAATCAAACTTATAATTCTTCTAATAACATAATATTCATAAGTTAAATGTTACTTAAGATAAAAAAGCAGACAAAACGTAACTATGAATGAGTATATAAAAAATCCAATTGATAGATTCTAAATAAGAAAATGATTAATTACATATGCTAAATCAGTTTAATTTTGTGTAAGCAATGTCAAATCATCCTTAAAAGTTAAAGACATATTCAAGAAAGCTCTTGTCAATATTTAGCTACCTTCTTATTCATAAAGGTTGTAGTCGGTTTTACTTGTAAAGTTGTTGATGGCTTGTTAAGTTTTGATAGTATTTTAAACATAATTTAAGGATGAAACTAATCCAGATGATAAAACGCTGTCAAATGATAACTAACAATAAGGATATAAATATTCCTATATCATAATTTTTTAGATACTTGAGTAAAATATAAGCATAAAGAATGAGTTTTTAAATCATTAAAAAGTATTATAAATGATTCTGTAGCAAGATAATTAGAAAAATCTACTGAATTACTTAAATTTAAATATTATTAAATGGAATCTAAGGAATTAAATAGCATCTAGTACATATTTTCTCTATCTTCCTAAAAATAAAAAGTGTAATTATTAAATCCAAGTAATATCTCTTTGTACAAAAAGCAATTTCCTCCACTCAAACTTAAATCTTGAAAGAGTTTAAATAAATTTGCTGTTTTTTCATATTTATTTAAGTATATCTATGTTTTTTCATTGATTATAGCAGAATAACCACCAAAAATTAAATTTAATACAAAAATGAGCATAAAAGAAGAAAATCTTCGTAGTTTTATAACTTTTTTATTGATTAATTCTTTATTTTTAATAGTTAATTGTCTTTTATTGGATTTAGATTGTTAAATAAAATCCAAATCAATTTTATATTAAAATAAATATCTATTATTATCTTTGATTTTTTTAATTATTTCCTTGTATCTTTCAATTTCTTAAGTTATAAGTTCAGAATCAATAAATTTGAGGGCCAATAAAAATTTATCATAAAATGTAATATAATTATAATAGCAATAAAAATTGAAAATGGCTAAAACTAAAGCTCCAATTTAAAAAAATATCCAAATTACCATCCATTTGTTAGCAACATTAAGACTTCTATTAGTTGATTCAGAAAGTAAAACTTTTGTGAGATTTTCTAAACTCTAATGTAGTTTGACAAAATTCGTAAATAAAAACACTTAAAAAGTTGAATTTGCAATTTCTTTTTAGTTTAGAAATGCATCTAAAACAGCAAATTCATATTAAAGATTAACCATAAGTGCTTCTCTTATAGTCAAATTGCTTTCCAATAATTTTTATTCAGTTATTGATTCCAATTAATAAATTGTTAAGTGATAATCATCTAAATAAGGTTATAAATTTAAATTTTAAAATTGATTATATAAATCATTTTAATAATCTAGATATGATTCTGTCAAATGATTATAAAATGGTGATATTAGATTTGTTACATTCAATAAAATATTTTTTTTTTAATATTCTTAATATATCTTAATTGTTGCTCTAATTGAAAAGAATATATCATGTTTAACCATGATGCTAGAATGTAATGATATTGTATCGATTTCTTTGAGAACTTATGATAAATCATTAAACATTACAGTAATAGCAATTAACGAAAATATTGTAAAGATTATATTTTAGAGGGTTAGAAGTGATAAAATTTCAATAAGTTTTAATGGTCTTTTATACACCATTAATTTTTCCACAAGATCGAATTTTCTGATAAACTTCTTTTTTTCTTCATCTTAAATTGAAGAATTGTCAGATAATTAATCTATTTTTAATTACTTTTATTATTCATCATCAAATGGAATATCTAACTTCTTTTCTGAAACCAAAGCCTAAATATCAGCTTAAGATAGTTTTTGAGAGAAAAATTCCTGCTGATTTCTAGAATGAAACTTTCTTTTTGTATCTGATGAACTATCGTTAGGTGTAATTATTCTGCCTGCCTCATATATTGTAATTCTTGGTTAACTCAAAGAATCTAAATAATGATTAGATAATATGAATTCATTTTTAAGTCCTTTGAATACTTCAATTTTATTAGGAACATCGTAAAAATTTAAATTGATTTAACCAGAAGAGTAACTATCCGATTCTTCATTTATTGAAACATCATTTTTCTATAAATAGCTTTAGTATTCTATTTGATTTATTGATTCAAAAATATTCGTTTATGAATTTGCTTCTATTGATAATATTTCAACAATGTTGTAATGAAAATCTATAAATTTTCTTCTATTAATTTATAAATTTACATTATATTTAAATAATTTATCTTTCTTATTCCAAGCAATTTTAGTAAGAGTGTTTTAAGAATTATTTACTTTTTTTTCTGTAAAAATTGTGCTAAATAGTTTAAAAATATTAGCAAAATATAAATCAACAGCTTATAATTTAATATCTGACTCATTCATATCAGTCAAAGTATCGAATTCAGGTATTAGATATGTTATTGATATATTTGATAAGATGTTTGAAGATTTTATAAATTTGATCTCATGATCTTAGAATCCTAATTTTTTGAAAAAGCATTCACTAAAATAGCAATACTTGGTTATTCCATCTACTAAAACATAAGCTCTATTATCTGATAATTCTTAAAAAAAGACTGCAAATATTAATTAATCTTATTGTTTGGCGATTTTAGTTAAATCATAACACATCTTAACTCCCTTAATTAATCCCTCTTAAGTATTTAAGAAATTTAACTAAAAATTTTAGAAAAATATTGAATTTCCTGTTGTTAAAAAACTCTACATCAAATAGGGATGCTATTTTATAAGAAATTTTGGTAAAAGATCATCTAATTATAATTTTTAATCATAATTCTTTCTTTCAAATAATTTTTAAAATTCATTAGAGGCAAACTTAACTTCTGTTTATTAAAAATCATTGGAAATTTCTATTATAAGATATCCAATCTTTTCTTTATTATTAATCAAATTAGAATTAAACATTAAAAATTTTTCATCTGAAATTGATGTTTGATTACTTACTTTTCTAGCTTCAGAATAATTGTTAGTTATTTCTGTCTCATAAAAGCAAATAGCATTTTACATGCTTAAACATGGAAAATCTAAAAAAGTGGATTTTAATCTTTAATTAGTTTTAATTATTTGATTGCAAATATCTCTAGTTATTTATAAAATATTATTTAAATTAAATGAATTATCTTAGTTGAGTTTTTAGTAGTAATTAACCTTTTATTAAGCTAATTATATTATAATATTTTTGATATCATCCATTTGGAATTCAAAAGTCAGAAATTTTTATAAATAATCAATTATTACATTTTAAGAATAGGTATAGAATGATTGGGATAATAAATTTTTCATTTCAGATTTAGCTATGCTTATTATCATTTTTAACTTCGTTCTTTGAATTAAATTTAAATTAACTTTAAAATTGATATTACATTCTCTTAGTTCTGCAGTTTCTGAATTATTAGATAATGCAAGAGTATTTGTATCAATTTTTGTGTAAACTGTACTTTATGATTAAAAGGTGATAGAAAAGTAAGTAGATTAAGAATCGCTTATTAATATAGAATTGAGTGTCTTAATTGCAGCAATCGATTAGCCAAAATCATATTACATAATTGAATGATTTATTACTTATTCTAAAAGTTTTGCTTTAGAACCCTAAGTTGAATGATAAAGTAAACAAGATAATTATTTTAACTTTTTTTTATAATATTTCTATTTCATTTGTATAGTTAAAGGAGCTATTTTAGAAACATCAGAATAATAAGAGTTTGTTCTACATATGCATTCAGAATTTTAACAATATTGTTTATGTGAGAGATAAATTAATGAATCTTTAATAAGTGTTAAAGAATCATTATCTGAGATTTTATTTAATTCTTTAATTAATGAATATTTGAATTTATCTAAAATTATTGGTGGTATTTAATATAAGCACTATAAATTATGATTATCTTATTTTTTATTAATAATCAATATCATATAAAGTAAAATAGGATAAAGAATTATTAAAATATGTTCTGTATATGTTTCATTTTTGATTGCTAATTTAAATAAAGTTCTAATAGAATAGAGGATATTAAAAATATTGACAAAAAATAATATGATTTTAGCTTATTTATGTAAATAGATCTATTCTAACAATTATTCTCCAATTTCTATCAAAGAAATTATAATCATTATAATCGATGTAACAAAAAGAATTTATATAGTATTGTTATCATCCAAAACAACAAAATACATAATATGAGAGAGAAATTTTAATATATTGGATAAAAAAGCAGAAAAAAATAGTTAACGCTTTTCATAAAACAAAACTTTATATGTTAAAGGGGATTCTGTTACTATTAAAGCTATAAATGTATCTATTTAGATAAAAGAAATTATAATCCATGATAAAATTATGTTTTAGATTTATCCTTATGATTACTTTATTTAAATAAAACAAATTGTTTGTAAAAATATTCCCAAAAATTTACAAATAGTCTATTAGTAAATTCCAACAAAATAAAGTAATATTTAATTAATCTAAGTTTGATGAGTGTTAAAATAATTTTAAAAATTATATAATAATAGCACAATAATAAGTTTATGTAAAATAACCAATATAAATGTACCAATAAATAAGATATCTATAAGAATGTAGTTTGTAATTCCTATTTCAGGTCTAATTATTGAAATGTATAAACTGTAAATAAAAGTAGTCAAATTCTAATAATGATTATTTGATTTAATGTCGATAATAGTTATAATTGTCTAAATTTAATTTACTATGTGTATCCAATATTGTATAATATTATTACATTTAAATTAATTTTTTATGATGATCATTAATGTAATCCATCTTTCCAAGTATACAAAATTTTTCAATTAATTTTACATATATGTATTAATAAATATTCATTTATAATAAATAAATTAAATATATATATATATAGTTGTTCATTAAATAAGAATTGTAAATAATTGGAATAAAAATGTGAAACCCATAATTTAGAGAATTAATATGAATTTTAATATTTATATGATGATATTCTTTATTAATAATATCATAATAATAACAACTGAGACTCATTTCATTGAGGGAGCAGATGTGCATTTATGAGAAATAAAGAATTATTTGTACTGTCTGAATATGATATTATACATATTTAGAAATCAATATTAATTAATAACTTTTTATATCAGTCATTTTAAAGGTTTATGAAAAGAAAAAATAATATCAAAATTTGCTTTCATTGCTATTAATACTCCATCCACTTAACTTTCTTATGTGCTCTACTTATAAATTTTAGTTTGTTTTTTTTTAAGGGTGCTTAGTTGTTTCACTAACATATCTTTAAAATGGTTATTTTGTTCTTGCTGTAATACTATGTTAGATTGATTCTTCAGTTTTAATATACTTTTATGCAACAAAATTTTTGAAAGCAGATGTTTAAGTTATTTATTTATGCCTTATGTGTCTGATAGGTTCAGGATAAACATATTCAGCTATACTCATTTATCTAGCAGGTGTTATTTATTTTGCATAGATTGAGTTATATTTCTTTTTCTCTATTTAATTTTTATAACTATCAGGTGATTTTCTGATTAAAAATGCCTTTTCTTTCTTTTAATCTCTTTTGGCAGTTATTAAAGAATCTGTTATTATTACAGATGACTCTGTTTTAGAATTAAGAATGGATGACATTTGCTTAAAAGCTTTTTGTTATTCTAATTTTTCTTTATTATATTTTTGAGTTATCGATTTCAAAGATAATTTTTACCCAAGTAGATATTCTCTTGCTTTTCTTTAAAATTCATAGACATACATTAGAAAAATGAAATTATAATTTATAATTTATTGAAAGAGAAATTATTTATTTAAACTAATTATGGAAGATAAAATGTATAAAATTTATTAAGATCAGAAATAAGAAATTCGGAAATTCATTAATTGATATTATAAAATTGATTCCACATTTAATTGAAATAATATAAATAACAAATTCCATAATTTGATTAAATTAAACTTTAAATACATTTCAGTTCTTTAAAAAACCATAAATAATTATAATGTTCAAAATTAATTGTTATGAAGATGGATTGAACACTTTGATAACAAAAATAAAGCTACAGATGCATTAACAACCAATTCGAAAAAATAGATTTTAAATTTAAGAAATTCGAAAGAATGATTTCAAAATAAGATCTAATCTTCTTTCTTTAGCATCTAATATTCAAAACAGTGTTATAAATTCTTCAACAATAAAAGATTATTAAAAATTAATTGAAACAAAAAGGAGATACACTCTTTTGCCCTTAAAAAATAATCTTTCAATATCTCCTCAAAAAGAAAAGTTGTAACGAAAAGCCAGCATCTTAAATAAATAGAAATTGATGAAATTAAAATGTGAAATAAGAGCATGGACTATTTTGAACACAAACTAAACAGATCAATAATGACATTTTAAAATTAATTGTGTATGTTAATTTATAATATTCCATAAAATATTTATACTATTAAATATTTGTATTTTTATAAATAAAAAGAATAATAAAATTAAAAGCTAAAGTGATTAAAGGAAATAAAAGAAGTTAAATATGAGAAAATACAATTAGATTATTAAACATCATTAAATTTTTAATATATTGATTGCATTCATAATAGTGGTTCCTAATTTAGCTGCCATCATTTCAAAACTTTAATCTAATCCAACAATAGTTGAACTACCAAGCATAATTTTATCTTTTTCTTATTTAAGAAGATTTCTTTATTTAATAGGAACTTCAAATACAGCAATAACTTAATTATCAAATATAATTGGATGTATAAGCACTGGTAAGATAGAATCTAAATCAATTGTTTCATCAAATTCTATAGATTTTCTCATATTCATTACAATTAATTCCTTAATTAAAAATATAGAATTACTTTTTTACGATCACAAACTTATTTAGCAATTCCTTTTTTAGTTAGAATAATAGATTAATCTAAAACTCTACCTTGTGTAATAGCATTTTTATGAGTCATTCCATCCCAACTTGTACCTATTGTTTTGTATGTAATAAATTTATCATTGTTAACAAAATAGAATGCTATCATTGAAACAGTTAAAATAGATTCCATCCAATATCTTATATATTTATATAATTAAAATTGAGTTTTACTTAATAAAAAATCATGGAAGGCATTTTAAACCATAGAATCAAATTTTAAAGTAACAGATAATAGTCTTGTTTTTATTTAATTTTTGATTAATAGTTCACAAAATTTAGCCAAAATAACACCATAATATTCTTCATCAAAAGAGAAATAATCACTTACTGAATTACTTATTTCTAAGATTCCTGATAATGTTTAATTTTAATTAAAGATTGGATAAAGAAGACTTTAATTTGTATACATTGCAACATGATTTGTATTATCACATAAAAGATTGTAATCGCGTTTATGTACTGGTTTTTAAAATCTCAATACTTCACTAAAAGATCCTTTATTAATCAATACTCTTTAATTATTACTAGAATAAAGAATTCCCATTTAAGCATCCAATACCCATAATCTTGTATTTTGACACATAAATACATGTTTAAAATTATATTCAATATATTACATCTGATCTTAAAGATTTTCAATCAATTATAATAATATAAGTTATTTAAGCATCATATTAAGTTTTTCTGAAAAGTCTTTAAATGATAAATATTAGGATGTTACTAATTGAATTGATTCTTTTATTTACTTTTAACTTGATTACATTACTTTCTAAGTAAAAACAGTTGTTCCTTATTCTTATATATCATTCATAATATCAGCGAATTCTAGTTTTAAAGCGTTGATTCTAAAATCCAAATTATCACATGCTTAATATCGTATCAAAATTTAAGTAGGATCATTTTATTTATCATCTTATTGAATCCATTCAGCTCTGTCTAATGCCAAATTTTCTAATTCTCTAATAGAAATTTTTTTTTTCATTAACTCAAGTTTTTAATTTAATTTACTAATTCTCTATTAAGATGATTTATATTATTCAGTTAATCTAGAGATTTCTTAATTCTTTAATTATAATTCTCTTTTTTATCTTTCACATTCTTTCACTAAATCAGTCAGCGTTTTTCTAATATTAACAGATTCATTAGGGAAATCACTTTCTAATATGATTTCTAACCTTTATTCTAAATTAGTTACTTTATGATTTAAATCACCACTTAATTTAGTTTGTAATTAATATTAATGATAATTTAATTAATTTTGATGCATCAATTCATCAATTTTAGTTTTCAGATTCTTATTTTGTGTTTCTAAATCATCATATTTAGTTTTTAAAACTGAAAATTTTAATTCTAAATCACCATATAATAATTAAGCCTTTTGTAATTAACGATCTTTATAACCTAATTCTAGTTCACTTTATGATGCTTTTTCTAAACCTTTTGATAATATTTTAACAGTATCCATAATTTTCATAATGTCAGTATCTTTAGTATTGTTTTCAATCATTTTTAATATTTAGATATGTAACTATCAATTTGAACATTATGATACATTGGTAAGTTAAGTGATATCAATACTGGTATTAGAATTTGGGGACATTATCTAAGTCTTTTTACCACTAGTTTAAGATAAGAGACTGGATAGTTTTCTATGCATAGGATGATAATTTAATAAATCAAATAAATATATATATATTTAAATTATAACAGTATGGGAAACACATGTGGACATTGTAATAACAAATATTAATAATAATAAAGGTTGGAAAGGATTATCTGATTGTGCATAGTATTGTTGTGAAGGTTGTGAATAATGCTATGTATGTATGAGACCATGTTGTGTATCTATAAAAGATGAATGGAAAAGTTGTTGTGCTATATGTTCATGTTAAGGATTCGGCTAATGTTTATAATGTAATACAAATCCATGTCTAATTCTTGATAAATCAACTCCTGATATTTAATAAACATTATAAAATTATGAACATAAAACTCATTACATGGATTAATGGTATGGAGATGTCATTCTTTTAGAGAATAAATAAACTAAAATACTTGCCATATTAAAAGTTTAAGAATTTTTATATCAATCAGATTTTGAAGAGTAGAATTAACAATTTATTTAACGTAAATAATTATAAAATGATAACATTGTATAATTAAAAGAATATATGTCAAGATAAGAGGAAGGTTTTTGTACATCCATTTATAAATCATTTTTGATATTTGATTATATTCTAACAGATTTGGCTTCAGAATTTTAATATAGATTAGAGAATAAGATTCCTTATTAATAAGAAGAATATTATCCAATTCTTTATTAATGTATCAATGGATTGAATTATCTACATTAGAATGGGATTTTTCATTAAGCTTTAAAAATGAAAAATATATTTATTACTTAAGATAAATACAAAATAGCAGATCCTCATATATTTGATCATAGAAATGATTATGATAAATTATATAGTGAAAAATAGAAATATTCGAAAGTAGTATATCTATCTCCTGAATTAGTAAGTGAGTTAGATAGAGGTAATTAAGAACCGAATGTTGATTGGTTTAAATCAGATATATATTCTTTAGGAATGGTATTTCTATAATTATGTAGTGGAAAACAATCATCTCTTTGTTATGATTATGATTAGGGTGTTATATTTGAAGATAAGATATCATCACATTTATAAACAATAAAGATTTCATGCCACGATTTCTTTTTTTATATTATAAAAGATATGTTAACAGTTAAGGTATCATAAAGACCAAATACTTAATAACTATTTGAAAGATTGGATAAAAATCCAAAATGTAAATAATCAATAAGTGTAGCTTAAATAATTTTAGATTAACCACAAGAATAATAAATAGAATTATAATAATAATATTTAAATTAAGATGTATCATAATTAATAGGAGGTGGTGGATAGGAAGCATTAGGTGAACCAAATACATTTGATTAATATGATGTATTAGGTCTAATAGGAAATTAACCAACAAAATAAAAAGACTTAGGTATATTAATTTAATTATACATAATAGTTGAAAATGTAAAAGAAAGATATCCTAATGGATCAAGATATTAAGGAATGAAAAGAAATGGTTTAAGACACGGAAAAGGTAAATTTATTCATAATGATGGAAGTTATTATGACGGAATGTGGAAAGATAATAAAATGAGTGGAAAAGGAGTCTTATATAATACTTAAGGTAAAGTAATTTATGATGGTAATTGGACAGATGATTAATATCATGGTTAAGGTATTGAATATAATTAAGAATAAATACCTATGATTTCTGGATTAGATCATAATAATCTATCTAATATTACTTGTTGGCTTAAATATGAAGGAGCATTTAAAAGAGATAATCGAGAAGGTTTTGGAACACTTTCATTAAGTAATGGTGATAAATATATTGGTGCTTTTAAAGATGGATAAATTCATGGATTTGGTACTTATTCATATAAAAATGGATAATCTATATAAGGAAAATGGAATATGGGTAAATTCTAAAAATGAAATTTCATTATTTTAAAATTTTTATTATTATTATTATTATTATTACTATTACTATTAATATTATTATTATTACTATTAATATTAATATTATTATTATTATTT